ATTTTAATCTTTTTTCCAAGAGGCATGCAACAACACCACAAGACAAATTAAAAACTTGGATCGCCACAACTTGAAGCATATTCCACTTAGTTTCTTAGATCACAGCCCAGTTAGAATCACATCCAAATACCTTTCTGCAGTTTATCTCCAATTCTGGAAGTTGCACATCTTGAAGGTTAGAGGACTATTGCCATTTCTCTTTATGTTCCAGCAATATTTAAACATTAAACCCTGTATATGTATATAAGGTAGCATAAGTAAATAAACAGAATACTGAAAGTAAACCATCACATTGGTCTTGTGATTGAGACTAAAAATGGAAGTGTCTGAAGCATCGCTAACATACGCTTATTTTTTAGTCTAAATATTTAAGGACTTTACAACTCATTGAAAAATGAAATGTCAGAGAATTAAAGAACAATGTCTATTAAATTCCTCACTAAGTCTCCCCAGTCATATTTCAAAAGATTCTAAATATTTATGACTTTCTAAACTATGGGACATGAATTAATCATTTGATACAGAACTATTTCCACAAGTTGCTTTGGTAGTGCAGTGACATAAAAAAAAGAAAACCTTAGCAGAAGTTTCATTTCATCCATGAATGAGTTAATAAAGGAGGAATGCAGATATCCAATTGCACAATTTGCAGTCATTTCTGAAGGGGGTGTGTGTAGCGGGGCGGGGGGGGGAACACAGAAGATGGAAAACCTGCAGAGAAAAATGCAACAAACTGACGTATTTAGGTGTAGACTAAGCATGGGTGTAAACCCTGTCTCTTTGTCTCTTGACAAAACACATCTGAGCTATTCTCGTGCCAGGAATTTCCTGCAACTATCTTGTGTGCAATACAGCCTCCTTCTCCACAATGTTTTTCTCTGAAATGCCTCCTGGTTGCCTAAGCAAGTCTTCCTAAGAATAAGAACTTCTAGGAAGCCTTCCACTGTCAAGAAGATGAGGCTGAGTGCTGCCAACAGGCACAGCAGATGAACTTGAGGGATAAGCACCGACTGAACAACACTGTCACCAGTGTCAGCTCACATCTAATGTAGATGTGGCTCCATTCAAATAAAATAGTACTGGCAATCTGAAAACAGAAATAACAGCAAGGGGTGGAAAAAAAATACCTATGCATGGTTCAAATATTCTAGTTATGGTGGACCAGGAGTGGGGTCTAGCAAGGTTTAGGGTTTAACACTCATTAACACAGGAGAGGCACTGGACATGGGGGCAGGACAGTGGCCTGCACAAAAAGCCTGGCCGGAAGCATGCAGTGAAGAACCTGCTTCTGTAACAGATATACAGGAGGATGTGTTTCTCAGAAATAATTCAAACCTGGGAAAGTTCAAAAAACATCACAAAAGGCAGGTAAGTTTTCTAGCCATCTGAAATGAAACAATCCACCAAGCAGGTATATATGCTACACAAGCCTACATGCAACTAAACTCATATCATCTTCCTCTACGAGTTCTTAAGAAAACTCTGGTTTCATCTGTATTTAAAAAAATCATTTCCTTTTCAATTAGATATAAATGCATTTATACAGCTTTGATGAGAGCAATCTGCAGGCAACAGTACAGCCTTCAGCTGGTGCTTCAAGGTGCCCCCCCCCCCAATTTATTTAATTTAGCCATTCTAGTGACTAAAGAGATGGTTTTGTCATATAAACTACATTATAACATCCACTGAGGCATTCCAGAGAAGTGGGAACACTTGATTTTCACTTTGACCCAAACAGATCTTTACTGCAGTAACCAACAGTGATGCTTCTCAGATGGTAAGATCTGTGAAGAAATTTTATAAAGAGGTAATACAGAACTCAAGTTGACAAAATTACACTTTTATAACTCTGATACTTCCCCCACACTGAAGTGACTGAGGTATATTGTCTACTGTGCTGTGAAAGAGAAAATGCGAAGAGTAAAAAATAATAAACCTCTTTCAAGATAATGCTTCAGCTCCAACACAGGCTTGAGCAGTAACTCATGCTGATGATTAGCATATGGTTCTGATAGATGCATTGTCTATTTTTTTTCTGCAGAGGTTTTAATTCTGTTCCTTAAATTCAGAGATGTGACATGAAGATCTGCATGTGGCATACAGCCACAAGGAGACCACTGAAGTTAAAGGATTAATCTATCTTGTACTATACTTTGGTGGTTCTACTCTGGAACATTTTTTTTTCCCTTTGTGATTCAGACATACTGCCAATAGCTCCATCTCCAGAAAGCGCTAATAATTCCAGCTGCCTTTCAACAAGGAAAAAGTAGCTCAAGTGTCAATGCTGAAGGAAAACAAGCTTCATCTGTACAGTGAGAAAGAGTGAACGAACACTGGCTGTGTTTAATCCAACAGATTGGTAAAGACTTCAAGTACAGTTAGAATAATACCAGGAGAGCCTTCAAGATTTATAAAATAAACCAGAAGTGGATTAGACATAGTTGAGTTTAAGGAAAACTGAATCCAAATGCTCATTAGTCCTATACAGTATTTTCCTCTCTTGATTTCTGCTTTATGTGTGTTTTCATGTGCTCTACTCTCTCAGTACTGTCAGGGGTGACAATAGGGAGGTGGTCAGATAAGGAAACAGAATTACCATAGTTGGATTAATCTTTATTTCCTAATATATATTCTTCTGAAGAATAAAGATATAAAAAGTCAGCTTCAAATGAATACAGCATGGAATCTTACCAAAGGTTTCCTTTAATCAGGAAAAATAATCAACAAGTGAAAACTACTTTGCTGGAAATTCTATTGTATGATCTGAACACACTTTAAGTCAAGTATTTCTATTAATTTCTGGCAGCAGCTTGCTTTCTTTGGCCCCAGAGTAGCTGTATCCTAAAGATGTGAATGTGTTTTAAATTTTTTTAAACAAATATAAATTGATTCACACTTCACTGAGGACCCGATTCCCAGCTCAAGCCTGGTGAGCACTAGCAATTCATGGAATGTCATGGCCAGTGACATCCAGGGGGTCAGACCATGATCTCATGGTCTCTTCTGGCCTTAAACTCAAAGACTATTACACACTTGTCCAGCTAATGTCCTTGGAAGTGAACTCTATTTCCATTTTAATGTGGAACTATAAGACATACACACATCTGACAAAGTTGGAAGGTAACAAAAGAAAACACTTGTGATAATAAAAAGCAGCTGCATGAAGAAAGATTTAAAGTAACAGCGCACACACTTAAAATAGTGTGCTAGACAATAATTTTATAAAATTAGTCAAGAAAAAAATTGGAGTATTTACAGGGCAGCAGAACTTTTTAGGGTTAACTGTGTTTCAGTCCAGGGAGTAAGCAAGCGAGAGCGAGCGCGCAGGCATACACAGACTATGGTGCATATAGCTACAACATTGGTTTACAGGATCTGCACATCCTGATACAGCTACAAGGAGCACACATTATAGTACTGGAACACTGAATCAATTAACCCTCTCTGGCTCTTTTCCAGCCAAACCCCCACATTTACTTCCTTGCTTTTCAAGCACTGGAGCTGGATACACTAGAATGACTCAATCAACAAACAAGGGTAGCAGCAGACTGCAAGCTTTGCTAACAAACAAAGAGAAAACTGCACATACAATCTGCTAATCACTTGAGTAAAATCGTCAAAAGAATGGAAGAGAAAGGACAGCAAAAAAAAGAACACAACCTTATTTCTATCTTTTTTAAATATGGCAAGAATGATTCTTCTCCTCCATTCAAGAGCTGGAGAAAATACCTGCGTAAGAAATACCGTTTTCCCAAAATAGAAATTCTTAATCTTGGTGTTAGAAGAAACGAAGTGCATAACAAAAGCATGCAAAGAGACAAGCTTTAGAAAAATAATAAAAACCAAACCAAAGCGAACAACTTGCTTTCCAGAAAGCAGTGAAAAATCTTATCTTAAAATCCACCATGTGATGAAAACGAAAATTACAAAGGATCTTCCTGGATGCAAAGTGGACTCTACTAAAATTCAAGAGAAAGAGGTAAGGCTTTCTTCACCTGAAAATTGCAACACATCGAATCTTCTCAGTAACTGAGCGTTTGTTCAGCTTAATGCCGTGACAAGTGTTTTAGTCTCTGCTTGAAGGGGGAAATGTAAGTGTTAAGTCTTCAGCAGAGTTGAGAGAGACAGAGAAAGAGAGAGGGAGAGAAAAGGCTGTGCTTAATAAAAGCCCTTCTCAGATTACAAAAACAAGCGGTTTACTCACCCACCCCCCCAAGTAATGGGTAAATTTAGATGTCTCAGTTCCATAAATCTTTACTGTCCCCTTGAGACTGTCACCAGTGTTTTATTGTCTACAGCTTCCTGCCCCTCACCTGATAAATTAGGAACTGTAGACGTTAAAACGGAAACCTCATACTTTATTTCTTAAGATATTTTTGGGGTGACCCTCTGTGGAGAAATAGGATTCTTAATAAGGGGAAATATGGGAACTGCCGTCTGCCTACGCACACGCTGCTGGAGACTAGACACTCGGGAGAGGAGGAGTTGCATACACACAACGCGAGCATCTGCCTTTCCATCAGTTTGTACTTACAAAGAGCAAATCTACGTACACTGTATCTAAAGGGAACAATTTGGCATCCCAATTCATCTATCGCTTTTCACTGCTGTAGTAAGACAAAAAAAAAAAAAAAAGGGAAGCTAATGCACTGCTTACTTTTCACAGCTACTGAATTGTCTCCTATAATCTTCTGAAACCTGAACCTCCATATGAAGGGGAGACCAGACCACTGAACCCTATCAACCAGAGATGGACACAAGACAGGACTTCCATTTTTAAGACCTAATTGCGCCCAGCAAGGCACAGGAAAAAAAAAAACCTGGATACCAGTTGGGACATGGTTACAGTATCTCAAAATAGCAGATGACCAGTTTACCATACTGACCATGCTGGCCTTTCTTCAGGACCATCCTGGACCAGAGAGGAACAGTGAACTCTTACACCATACACAATTCCTGTGCAAAACACAGCTCCTGAATACGTTCTGCTGGACACAAAAATGTCCTATCCGTTAAATTTTTTGAACGGGTCTGGAGTTGGCAATGGATCTTTGTCACCTCTCTCAGTAACAGGAGAACCCAAGCAGGACTACTCAAGTGACGAACAAGGAAACAAAGTGCAAGTGCGTTGGGCAGCTTTACTGATCCTCCTGGTGATAATCCCCACCATTGGGGGGAACATACTTGTCATACTGGCAGTGTCTCTGGAGAAGAAGTTGCAATATGCTACCAACTACTTTTTGACGTCCTTGGCAGTGGCAGATTTGCTCGTGGGTCTGTTTGTGATGCCGATTGCCCTTCTCATAATATTATTTGGTAAGCACAACATTTTTGTTTCATCAGACTAGCATATGGGGTACAATTTGGGGAGGTCTAATTTAAACAGAAAAACTGTTTGCTTTCCACCATCACAATTTTAAAAATCACTCAGATGAGGGCTGCTAAATCTTCTCTCCCTCTCACCTTAATATAGCTTAATGTCTTTATGGGAAATATACCCACTGTTGATATTCTTTCCTTTGAAACAAACCATTCAAAAATCACCCGAGACTTAGAACTGACACTAAATTGGAGCTGGACATGGGAAACTACATTTTGTACAGTTTAATATTACTTTTAACAACATCAGCACCATGTTGGTATCTATTCTACTGGATATTACACTAATTGGAGGCAGTCTTCTATTAAAAAAAGTGAAATGAAGACTAGGTATCTGTTCAGTACACTGAACAGGTTTTGAACTTTCTAGGAGTCAGGCACCTGATTTCACCTTAGTATTGACTCCAAGCTCCACGAGCAGTCAGAGATGGTCCCTAGCACCATCAGTAAGAACAAACTTTATCAGTACCAGTTTCAGAGAAACTGATTTTCTCCCACCCTAGGGAAAGCAGCAGGTTCGTAAAATGTCCCAAAGAATTAACTCATCTGTCAAGCCAAGGAAGCCTGAATCCGTGTATCTAATATTTGAGACTCAGATTATCATTTGGTCTGGTTCATATGGAATAAAATAGGTATTTTTTATATGAACATACATTGGGTGTGACATTTTCTTTCTGGTTAGTCATTACAGAACAAGCATGGCTTTTTCATATTCTCTCATGCCCAGCTTTATTTCAGATATTACTTTTGACAACTAATCAGAGGCAGCTCCATGGGGAAGTCTCTTTCTTTTACTCCTAAAGTTTCTTTAAGAATACATTTTAAATGGCCTATTTTTGTATCATACAAATGGGGGGGGGGGAATCAACAAGATGGGTTTTCCAATAAACTTACGGATTTACACAATTATCGTTAAGGTATAGATACCACTAAGCCCTAGATAATGAAAGGCTGCAGGATTTCATTTTTCCTATGCTAGATCTCCAAGAGTTGCCTGAGCAACAAGCAAACACAATCATAAACTTTATTTCAGAAAGGCCATCAGTAGCTTTTGTTTGCTGCAGAAGACTGGTATCACTTGATTAACAAATGCGCTTATTCACTAAACGCCTTGAGATTGAATTTCTGTATATTACAGACTGCTTCGCCCTAAACAGATATGAATTGGAGGTCAGAATTCAGTGTTGAGATCATAAAATAGTCTTTTTTCAAGCAACGTTTCTAAAAAGAAAAATGAACGTACATGACCAGGACAGTGATTTCTAACTTGAAAAAAACACAGTCACTTATAAAAAACCTTTGCATGTCATGTATGTGCACATGTGTGTGTAGTGGCAAGAAACAGATACGTATATACATACTTACACACAGATACTGTAACTGCTTAGGTCCTGCCAAAGGTCTCATTAATAATAAAAATAAAACTACTAACCACAAGAAGTACTAGTATTGCACTAGCCATCAATACAAAGGGAAGGCAAGTTCTGGATTTTGTGGAGTTGGTTTTTGGTGGTGGTGGAGTTTTTGTGTTTTGGATTTTTTTTACGATTATTTTAATTTTGCTAGACTAATAAATCTTTTCTTTTTAACTTTATAAAGGGACCATTGCTCCCTAATCTCTCAATTAATCCAGTAGCTAAGCCCTGCTTACAACAGTTTAAAGCATGCTAGGAATCTTAAATTAAAAGTCAAACAAAAGCATCTTTCACATTGCAGAAAATTGACAAGAAAGTAGCAAAATTAGTTATAATTAACTAAGTAAGACTGCGACCAGCCTTTCACATAGCAGTGGTTAAAACTGAAATTTCTTGCATACAAATCTCTCTTTGGCAGCCAACCAGAAAAACTGCTTTGCCTCTTCACCCATTGGGAGAAGATGCTGAGGTGTTTATAGAAGTTCAAAGCATGAGCAAAACACAAGGAGTTACTGGAATGAAGCTAGAACAGACATTTAAATACATAACAAGTCTAAATCTTGAAGTTACATTAGCCAGATAACTACTTGAACATAGAATAATCATTGATAGCCAGAGAGCCGATTAAATCCAGCCTCCTGGCACTTCCACACAGGACTGTTTCCATAATAATGAAATAGCTGGGTGCAGCCTCTAGATACAGAATATATAAATATTATGCTTCTGATTTGGGACTGATATCTAATTATGTGGAGACTATCTGAGGGAAAAGGTGTAAACTAAAGTACAGTCATATTAAATGATGCTGACTGTAAAAACTAATGTGTCACAGAGTGTTCAAATTCAAAACCTACTACAGACATTGGCTCCATACCCTGACGGTATGCTTACAGAAAAATCTTCAGAAGTAGACTGTCTCTGTAATAAAGAGCTACCCCTTTTAAAAATAAATAAATCTGTAACTCGCTCACAGGTATAATACCATGAGTAGCAGATTATTTATTCTCAGCAGAGCAACCGAAATGTACTCTGGTACAAATATACACTGCAATTTTAATTTAGGAGTGCAAAAGTCAGAATATACAAACAGTTCATTGCTTTTACTGCTTGCTAAATTCTTCTCATTTCTTCAAAAAAAAAAAAGGAGGGCATGTTAGGAAGTAATTGCATTCTCTGAAATCTAGCTTTCAAAAGAGTTATCCAAATTTCTAACACTCAGAACTACTGAAGGAAAGCAAAAACGTTGCTATTTATCAGATGGTGAAATTAGCAAATAAACTTGAGAGATCCTCTCATTTGCAAAGCCTGCAGCAGGAAGAAGTCTGTTGTCCATGGCTTGGTGGGCAATGGGTTACTTGGAGACAGTGCACGTACCACCTTTTAAAATATATTCTCTATTCCTGACATTCATCCACTTAAAAATCTGAATGCTGATTGTCCTAGGCTGTAAACCATTATTTTTAAAATCTAGCACAAGCAATCGCTGTCTTAATTTTCCCACATTACTGATGACGAACCACAGCACATCTTCCCTTCCTGCCCATGCAAACTACCAGAGAAAACTGCTTTAATTGAGGGCTACTTTCTAAAAACGCAAATTTAAAGATAAGATGATAAAGGTTTATTGCTCACAAAGCAACTAAAAAAAAAAATAATACTTTGGCTAAATTAAAAAAACTACATGACAGTGAACAGCTACTGTTGAAGCTGTAATTGTAGCAGAGAAAAAATAAAAGGCAGACAGCCATGGGGGTGAAACAGCAAGACAGCAGCCTGGAAACGCCAGGCCTATGCAGTCCACGAAGCTGAATACTGACACGAGGGTGAACACCACACACGCAGGCTACAGATGCTCGCACACCAATTTGAAGATTGAAGCCTAGGCTTAAGTCAGCTAGTGATTAAAAATACCAGATTTCCACCTCAGTAAAAGCATCGTTATCTAACAGCAACAAAATCCTTTACAGGCAACACATTTCAGCAGCCCTTACAGCAGAACAACAAACAGTTTCCAAATCTATTTAAAGATCTCTCTTAATCATGCTTACATGTGTACAGAAGCAGTGCCTTCTCACAAGCTTTCAAAAAACCTTTTGGCTTATAGCAAGAGCAGCCCTTCTTAAGGATTACACATTTCCAAGGTATTTCCTATAAATAAAGCTTTTCTTAAATAAAGATAAATCAAGGGTAGACAGTTGGGGTAAAAGCTCATCTTCTCTTAAGGTGCAAGACAAATCTTAAAAAATGCATTTTATCTTGTATTGTCTCAAAATAAGGAAAATAATCTGCAACAGCAGGACTGCTGCAATGCTGGGAGGATCCGAGGCAAGGTTTGTAGGAAGGAGGAATATCTTTTTACCTTATACGACCTGACAGTTGCAGAAACCAGACAAGTTTTCAGGCAGGCACATTTGTCAGGTAACCTAGGCATTTAAAAAAGAAATGCTCTGGTCTGCCCCAAAAGTGTGCATCTGTACTAGGAGAATCAGAACTTGTAACAACCCAAACTAACCATGACCTGCAGTGGCTTCATATCGCTTGGCAGGACTTACTCATTTTACCTTCAGTCTGAATTATAAAGCAGGGCAACTAACAAGCACGTCACCATCACATTCAAGGGTCAGAGATGCTTTCTGAATCCTGAGGGGAAATTAATATTCCATCTTTTCCCTACTTCCAAACTAACAGAATAGGCCAACAGTGATACACACCACCAGGAAAGCACAAAATCTCAGCCCAGAGCAGTCCCCCAAACACTAGACACAGAGCTTCTAACACAGGTGTAACCAACAAATCAAAATAAGTAAAAGCAAAATACACCACAGTATGAATCCTAGACAACTGACTCTTCTTATCAGTTTCACAGTATTTGTTTTGTTTAAATAATAACCATATTCTTCAATTCTTATCACCTACTACATTGAAAGTCTACTCTGATTTTGTTTGGATAAAAAACATCATCTCATACACACAAATATAATAGTACACAATGCTATAATGGTGAATGTGATAACTTACTGCCTTCTGCACCCAGTTCAAAACAAGACAAAAATAAAGACGAAGCTTTCTCTGTTCAGTTGCATTTATCAACTAACAAAAGCTCTTACAACACATAAAAATGTACAAGGTTGCTTCGCATCAGATAGCTGTTTAAATGCATCTATATTTAAAAGAAGGAAAAGAGCTTTCTGTTGCAAAATATTTGAGGGTTTTCTTCTGCAAAGAGTAAATTAACTACAAAAGGAAACAATTTATCACACTGCAATTCTCCAGAAAACAAAGTAGTTATAATCCAGGGAGCAGCATGTAAGTACTTTCCAACAGAAGTATTAGCTGCTCACTTGAAATCCAGCTGTGTTATCTGCAATCCTTCATGATGTAGAACACACTTTTCCATTGTCCATGTTTTATCTGAACTAATCCTTCATCACAGAGTCAAAAGAAGTAGTCTTATTTTTCTGGAGTGAGCAAAAACATTTAAAGCTCATCAAATCAATTATTTCTTTTAACTGTATTTTTCTCTCTCTTTCTCTTTTTTTTTTTTTTTACAGCTGCTTACATGACCCACAAGACATTTTGGTTTTCCTTTTTTTTTTTTCTTCTGAAAGGCACCATACCTTACTGCCAGCTGAAAGCGTAGATAGAAAGATTAAATAGGAGTAAGCGTTTCACAATATACTAATTACAACTTTCTCATACCTGCCTGACAGAATAATTTTTTGAGGCATAATTTCAACCATGATATCTATTTTAGGAAATATGCAGCTAGATACTAAAATTTACTGGTTAATGATTTGAAAATAGTTCACCTCTTTCCCTTCTGCCTCACTGCCTACATCATTCTCACCTGGAGTCCACTGCTTTGGGGATGGGTGAAGTTCAGTTCAGGGCTCCAGCCATCCCTTCTCTTTGTTTAAAAGACGAGGTTTCCCAACATAGGTAAGAGTGCAGACAAGTATGTGCTATGTCTGACTTTATAAAATTTTCCATCCTCTGGAGTTTAAAATTCAAGTCAAGACAGCACCATTATCATTTCTGTCTATCAGTCACATTATGAAAAAATGTTTTAATCAACCTACTGCAACATTACCACATTGATAACACTGCCAAATGAGCTGGACTATTGTAATGCCTATTCTCAGCATGCAGATATATTTATTCAGAGCAAGGAAATTAAAACCAATCTGATTTGTTAGAAATGTCTTTTTATTTCCTTAAGCATCATTCAACGAAAAACTGACTTCTCTGGCAATACTATTGATGTGCCTACTGATAAGAGTACAGCTGAATTTTGTAAGGAAGAAGAATATATTTAGTAGATCAACTTCTACCATTAGAAATAGGAAAAACTTTTGCATTCACACATTCTTCCCTAGGACTACAGAACATTCTTATAGACACACAACACTAAGGTGCACCTCAAATTGAACGCTGCTAGCGCTGGATTGCAATACAAACTACCTGTGAGTGAAAATAAAGCAGTTAAGAAAAAAATAATCAGAGTTTCATTAAAGTTCATTCAGTTTGGTACTGTAAACATTGATAGGGGAGACCCAGCTCTCAAAAATACAAGCCTTTTGGAAAGTTGAACACTACAAAACCTTTATCTTGGACACAATGCAGTTGACAGACCCTATGTTTGCTATAAAGATTAACATTAAAGACAGATATCTACTGTAAGAAACAGCATGCCAGACTTAAAATCCAAGCCATCGCTCGGGAGGGGGGGAGGAAGAAGGAAAAAAAAAAAAAAAAAAAAAGACACACACATGAAAGCCCTTCAATTTTTACAAAATCATTACTGAGACAGAAGAGCCCTGCTTTGCCACATTAGTGCTCAACTGTATCTGGTCAAGTGACACAGTAAACTAATTTTAAAACTGTGTGAACTAGATTCTTCAAGATCACCACTAAGATTCAACCATGGTTCTGCAATGATTGACTAATACATTGGTTATGACCCATTATCTCCTCCATTTAATACAACCTTGAACCTTAGGACTATGAAGGAGACATAGCTGAAAATCATGTAACAGCAGGGCACTAAGACCAAGCACAGTCATGGCCCATTATTTTAAAACTCTTTTATGCAGAGTCCTTGCCACAAAGAGCTTATGATCCAAAAAGGACAAAAAGACAGGGAAAAGCTTATGATACACAAACAGCCTGATCAATATGATGGCAGCAACATGCCAGTTAGGAGCTAACTAAAACGTAAGACAGAATTCAGCTGAGGCAGTGGTGAAACTCAGTTCCTGTAGTAGTATGAAATTCTCAGATGTACTGATGCCAAGGGAAAAACCACACACTGAAAACTCTCAAAAAGCTTAGATTCTAATGAGTTTTCTGTTCTCTTTCAGACAATGCCTGGCCTTTTCCAACTGCCTTGTGTCCTATCTGGCTGTTCCTTGACGTCGTCTTTTCCACAGCTTCCATCATGCACCTCTGTGCCATCTCACTAGACCGCTATATTGCAATTAAAAAGCCAATCCAGGCTAGTCAGTACAATTCATGGGCTACAACAATCATCAAAATCATCGTGGTTTGGCTCATTTCAATAGGTATGTGAGACTCGGGAGACTGGAAAAGGAATGCAGAAGCTTTTCATGTCCAAAACAATAGGTGAAAGCTGGGCAGAATGGAAAATTTGGCCAAGTACTATTGATTAGCAGACCCTAACACCTGGGCTGGCTTAAGTCCACCTCTTGGATCATAAATAGCTACATCATTAAAATCTGCCTGAACCACTACTCCTTATCAGGCTTACTAGAAAGAGCAAGATTGGGTAGGGATAATCATCGCTCTTCTTCATGGTCCTAAAAGTCCAAAAATCAAAAGACAATATCTGCATGCATAGCATGTCTCCTGGAAAAGAAGATTTCATGTTCCTGTGGTAGTATATTCTGTCCCAAACACCATTTTAAGCCTTAAGTAGATGCTGCTAAAATCTGTGCCTTACAATTGTCCCATGAAGCAAGTAAAAAAAGGTTAATTACTTACATCAAAGATCGTAAGATAAATGAGTGGCTGGTAACATTCACACTGAAGACTGAGATGCACTGGCAATATAGCATATAGAAAGGCTAACTTCTAAGCAAAAAAAACCCCAAACCAAAACCCCACAAAACCAACACCCCCACCCCCAAAAACCCCAACCCCCCAAAACCCACCAAACCCCAAACAGTTTCTATAAAGGATGCCAATGTATAAACTTTTGTGTTATTAGCACCTCAGTGACGTGCATGTGTCACCTCACCTGTCTTTAATGCTTAAAAAATAAATCTGTTAAATGAGCTAAGGAGGTGAAAAGATTTAATTCAAATAACTGAATGCACACTGCAGGCAGCCACAGGCATAGTGCAAGTGTATGCAAGAGAAAGAACAAAATTATTCTGGATTATTAAGGCCAATGATGCCTAGGAGAATGGTTATATCCACCTTCTTGGCCGAGGCATACATGCCTAAATCCAAAAATTCCAACTTTAAAAAAATTCTGGAAGAGCTGTGATGATAGGAGAAAAGATGCTATCTTTATCACAAAAAAAAGGAAGCTGTTAACATGACAAGACACTTACAAGTTGACCTTTTAATGCCTGATTTATTGGTATTAATCAGTGCTGTACTTTTTCATTTCTTTTTTATCTAACACAAAAGTACTCTGCAGCTGAGCCAGGGTTCTCCAAATCAAAGGTTAATTTGGTTCAATCCTCATTTTAAATGTTTGCTGTATCTGAAGGTGTGCCTCTTATTAAGAAAGATATCAAATGGCTGAAGGGTAAACCATTTTGCTCTTGCTGCCTTCAACCTACTTCAGTAAGCAGAGTAGCAGAGGAATAGAGTAAATCCCTAGATCTCATTAAGTGGTATCAGGAAACATAGCACAAATAACCTTCACCAGACAGCAAGGAACCTGTTGTTTTTGTTGTAATGTCAGACTGCTGGCACATGAAGTGCTGACTGTAATTTATACAGTCAGCAGTGGTTATAAAAAATTCATTTAAAAGACAAGACTGCTAAATTTTTTTTTTTAACGAGTGGTGAATTACAGAGCTAGCTAGCCTCATTTAAACACTTTTAAATATGCAGGAGACTTTAAACAACAAATCCATCTCAAACACACACTGCATAATTCTGGCATCTATTTAACTACTTGTATATATGAAAGAAGTCAAGCAGGGTGAAAAAAATCAGCTGTCTATGTCCAGTCACTTGTTGTGGTTAAGATAAGAGGGAAAGACAAGTTTTATGTATTTACAGAACTGTCCTTCAAAAAGTGCAAAGGTTACCCCAGAGGAGGAAAAAAGCAGATGGCATTAGGGAAACACATTTCACTGGAGGAAAAGCCATACTAATTCTAACAACTAGAGTCAAAGCAATTCATGTGTTTTACACTTGAGAAGTTGGCAACTTTATACCGCTTCCTCAATCACTAAGGGTTAGGCCCAATCTCCTTAGAAAGGGCACTCTGATAAAGCTGAGTTTGCCAAGTCTCACAAAGTACTCTTTGCCCAATTACCCACGTGATGCTCTCAACAATTCACGTTCTCTCCATCACCCTGTGCCTGCTCCAGAGCTCAGGAACTACCTTCTTTAGAGACGCTGAGGCTTCAGGCCCAAAAAAGAGATTGCAAGTGATTACCATATGCTGAAGTACTTGTTTTTTCTCCTGTAGGCATTGCTATTCCGATCCCTATCAGAGGCATTGAGGAGGGAAATGGCAACTCTACAAACATCACATGTGTCCTGATGCCCGATCGTTTTCATGACTTCATTCTGTATGGGTCAGTGGCTGCGTTCTTTATTCCCCTCGCCATCATGATAGTCACTTATTTTCTGACAATCCAAGTGCTACGCAAGAAGGCCTACTTGATCAACAAACCACCTCAGCGTTTCACTTGGTCAACAGTGTCCACAGTATTTCAGCGTGACACAACGCCCGCCTCCTCACCAGAAAAGGTGGCCATGCTAAATGGCTCCAGAAAGGACAAGACTTTGTCTTATGACATGCCTATCTGCAGAACGTCTACGATTGGGAGGAAGTCCATGCAAACAATAACCAACGAACAAAGGGCATCAAAAGTTCTGGGGATTGTCTTTTTTCTTTTCTTGTTGATGTGGTGCCCATTCTTCATAACAAACATAAGTTCAGTTCTGTGCAACTCCTGCAACAAGGAGGTTTTTCAAAAGCTAATGGAGATATTTGTTTGGATAGGATATGTATCTTCAGGAGTAAACCCTCTTGTCTATACGCTCTTCAACAAAACATTTAGGGAGGCTTTCAGCAGGTATATCACTTGCAACTATCGGACCACAAAGCCTATCGAGACCCTTCGGAAATGCTCCAGCAGGATCTCTTTCAGAAGCTCTGTGGCAGAAAATTCCAAGCTCTTTGTCATGCATGGGATGAGAAATGGGATTAACCCCATTATGTACCAGAGCCCAATGAGGCTGAGGAGCTCACCCATCCAAGCATCATCGGCCATTCTGCTGGATACATTGCTGCTCACAGAGAATGAAGTTGATAAAACAGAAGAACAAGTCAGCTACGTATAATGGAATGGCAGCCCTGTCCATATCATAGTATTACTGTATGTATTATTCTAGGTCACTGTGCTATAAGAGGGTATAAATACTATTGTTTCCTGTTATTTATGCAAGCAATATCTTATAAATTCATATTAATTCCTCTCTTCCAATGTCTCCTCTACTTTACCCCCAACCCCATGGCAGCAACCACAACTCCATTCCATGATAAATGACTAATGTAGAGCTGTAGCCTACAGGTAGAAGAAAACAAATAAAAGCTAAATCAGTTTGAGTATCTGACTTCAGTTCTCATCATCTTCAGCCTCTCCAAAGTACATTTTTATAAGAAAAGCGTCTCTGTACAAACACGACTTTAACATTCGCTCTAGCAAGAAGACAGCACACTCTGTAGATTGATGCTCTACAATGAAATTAGCAGGGGGATACAAGCTTGCTAGTTTTAATTTAAATCCACCTTTACTCTGTATGAACAAAACAGCACACAAGCTCACGGCATTGCCTCCTACAGATACGTTCCTCTGCTCAGACTGCATATCCAAGTACGAGCTTTTCTTGTTCTCTGAGGGTATGTATATCACAAGCAGAATCACTTGCTCCAGAGACCAAAAGGCATATGTGCGCATTGCACAAGGGGTAAAACTGGTTCTTAGCAGGGTAAGGAAAAATTCCTTGTGCTGAAATTATCCCTTTGTGGTTTTACTGTGGGGTGGGCAGGATGTCTTACCCACCTGAATTTCATCTCCATCATTCTCACATACACATAAGCCTGGTATTGTCAGATTTTCCACAGAAAACTGCTCTTTGTTCTTTTCATACTAAGAAAATGAGAGCATTTAACCAAAATAGGACAATATCACATCAATGATCGAGAGTAGAACAGGACAGGCAGTGCCTGGAACATACCTTTAATTTACATGAACAAACTTCCCTTTTTATGACCACTGGAACTTCAGTAAAAGCCTTCCCTCATCCAATATAGTTCACACAAAGTAGAAAAGTCACAGATAGAATAGCTATTTCACTTGAAAATAAGAGACAGCAGAGACAACGTTACTATCTAGACCTGCATACATTCGCAGTTTAGCTTAGCTCAAAGTAATTTCATTGGACTGATGGCATAAGATTACAGGTCCCAATCTGCACTCTCGAACATGCTCAAGCCTTCCATCAGAACACAAAATTAATAGAAAGAATTGTTCCTCACAATCTGTAAAAGCTACCAGAGTCTATCATCTGGGAAATGAGGAGCTTCTGACAGTTCCAGACCACCCCTCTTTGGGAAGGGAAATCGGATTTCCCCAAAGTACTGGAGTTCTTACAGCAAGCAGCCAGCTCACCATTTTTTTCGATAGTTTCCCTTTAAAGTAAAATTTTCAGCTTAGGCTTCATTTTTGTTTTCAGAACTCTTTAGTTACACACTAAAATTATGTAGAGCAAAAGGCTTAGATTTTTTTCATCTGCAGAAAGGGAAGTACTGAAGATAACATGTCCTTCCAACATTTATTCATATAGATTTAATTTAAAACATATGCAAGTTCAAAACAGAGCCTAACATAACAACTGCCAGAGAGTTCCAGGAGAAAGCATTACAAATACTTCTGTGGTACTTACAGTAAGTTGTCTCCTTCCTCCCCTTTCTGGTGATAGTCACTAGCCACTTAATTTACAATAAGCTCTAGCTGGTCTTACTCCTCTTTCATTAATCAGAATTTGTTTAACAGGATCCTGTAGTTAAAAGCCAGAATTCATGGATTGCTATAGCTGCAAAAGATGCCTACATCTAAAAATATTTGAGAACCAAAAGCCTTTAATAAGACCTAGATTCCTTTGAAGCTCAAGGGGAGAGGAAGTAAGAATAAAACAAATCCAAAAAAACCCCAAACTTCCAGGTACATAGCTGAAAATGTCACAGACTAGTATCTCATTTAACCTAAAGCAGGTACTTTGGAACCAGGTGAAAGTGCAATCACATCTATGCACAGAGCGATCACAGCAAAAAAAAATTAAAAGCAACATTTGCAATGCAGGAACCAGCCTTCATGAGGAATAACACCAAAAGGCAAATAGGCACAACACTGTTCTTGAGGGGTTATTTCCCAGCAGCCAGAGAGCAAGAAGCAGTCATTTTTGAAAACTCTCTTGCTACTTAAATAAATCCATGCTGATTAAACAAAAACCGCTCATAGAGCAGGCAGCAATCATCTATCTACTTTCAGCAGCAACTTAAATTTTCCCTTTCCAGCAGGAATAACACAGCTGGCTCACAAGACCTGGAAAGAGCAAGAGGTAACTTAGTTCTCTTCAGTCTGAGCCTGTTCTTGTACAACTGCCAGTCTGCAATGAGCAATGATGCAAGGAGTAATTTGCTCTAAGTGTCCCACAGAGAACAATTCCAAGGGCTCTTTGTAATCAATGGTTAGACTCCACCAAGAGGAAACAATCCTTGAGAAAGCGTCACCCAGAAAAGATGTATTTTGTCAAGTCAGCATATAGATTTCTCAGTTTTAGTAACCATAAATAGAAACAACATATTCCAGTTACTGAATTTAGTCAGCAACAATAAACCTCAGTCAAAAGGAGTAGTGACTAATAAAAAATCCAGTCTTCCTACAGAGAAGGAAATTTCTCCATACACAGAAACATATAATCAAGAAAATATGCACATTCCATTTAACACGCTAAGTGTAAGAAGAAATTGCTTGTCCACTGAAAAAGCAAACAAGCTAAGAATTCAGGTAACAGCCTTGAAAGCATAAGGACAGAGGGAGAAGAAAGATGAAAAGAAAATGCAGAACTATGGAATAAAAAGACAACATAACGGACAGCAGAGATCTTGTTTTAGCAACTGTATCTACAAGAACAGATGTGAACAAAGACATTACCTTCATTAGCAAGACATGACTGAAAATAAAGAGTCACTGCAAGCTACTATAAGAAAGCAAAAGTTTGTTGTATGGTAACTAAGGACAACATTGCTCTTGTGGTACCAACAAGTGAGACAGGAGGCTCAGGACTACATCCATGAGCATCATCTTTAAGTAACACAAATACATAAAATATATTTTTACACGCTGGCTGCAAAGTGAGAGTATTTTTATAGCTTCCGGCTTCCTTCATAAAGATAGCAGCCTAAATAATAATTGATAAAAGGTTTGCAGTCACTTGCTAGCTGAACACAAGATCTTTTTACAGGAGAAAGGGGTCATGCACTTTCCATTTAACCAAAAAAAAAAGACATTCCTTTCTCTGGAGTGAAACGCTCTCAATTCTTTCAGAATCTGGCCCATGCCAAACCAACCACCTGGCCAGCTCTATTGCCTCTATATACTACATAAAAATAATAGACTTACACAGTTACCTAGTTCAACTTTCCTCATTATCACAGAATTTTTTATTTGGCATATTTAATTTCTTTTTAATCTACTAGAGAAGCAAGATAGACAAAAGTCAAAGATGATCTGCAACATACAAGCACTATGGGAAGAAATACATTTTAGAACAACAATAGAGAAGTATGGGGGTTTTTGTTGTTTAATTATTTAAAATACATTACGAGATATTCAGTCAGTGTTCTGGCTGCCTATCTAATTAAAAATTACAGCACAGACATGGACATAAGGACTACCTATAAATATATCCACCTCAGCAGTCTTGCAGAGAAGAAAATAATGGAGTTTGAAGCCTAACAGAATGAGTGCCTTGAAATGCAAATAAAGGGAATACCTTAAAAAAAACCAAACAAAACAACAAAAACAAACAGACAAAACCAAGCAAAACCAACCAAACAAAATCCCAACCTTCAAGCCACCCTAAGAAACAGAGAAGCAAGAAATTCAGCTAATGTCAACTGTGGCGGTACAAAACACATTTAGTGAAGCCAGTCCCAAACTATCTGGGGTTCTATAAGCCTTTAGTTCAGATTCTGTCAGAAAACTTGTAGGCAGCCAGAAAAATTTATTCATCACTTATCTTGTATTCTCCGGGTGTAAAACTCTTCCCTACCACATCACACCTGGCCATACTAGCATCAATTTTCAGATGCATCAAAATACAGTTAAAAAAATCCAGTGCTAAGCAGAAGTGAAGGCACTGACAAGAGAGACTGGTGCTATAAAGCTGTTCACTAGCATACAGGAGGCACACTGATTTTTTATGATGCTTCATAGAAAATGTCATTTTCTTACACCATTTTCTTATTGTGGAAAAATCCACAGCACTGCAAGCTGGTATGAGAAAGCAAAAGCATTAGTCCCCTAAATTTTTCTTCTAGGCTGTCATACGTAACATCAGCCTTAAAAGGTAAAGTATTGCAAGCACACTAAACCTGGTAAAGGCATACTGAACAACCTGGGACACTATAGCCCAAAGAGGCAGGATGCTTGGCAGAGCTCTTCTGGCTCTTTGCCTTGCAAGCTGGAACCAGGAGTCCCAGAGTTCTGGCCAGTTCTCAGGACTGACTTAGTCTTACCACGAAGCATTAGATTTCTTTCATCATATTGATAAAGATGCCTATGTACAACCGCTAAGAAGCAGTCCTTTGTTTCACTTCCCCTTTGGCTCTCTAGGTAACCATCAACATGGCAAAAACAACAGTCAGGAGAGAAGTAACTTCCATATTTTTGCTTTGGCGTTTGACACCATGGTGTTTACTGTCAGTATCTGTTCCCATGAGACACACTGTTCTCCCCAGTTGCAAAGAAAGGATTTTGCCCTGCAGAACAGGAAAGGAAGCTTTTTCATTTTTAAATGGGAAGCTAGTTACAAAAATAGGCAAGATGGCTTGCTGAAATGTCCATTTTTACTCTTATTTTTAATAATTCATGTCAAACCCTATTTGTCTAGCCACATCTAACATGCCTTGCATCCAGGTATTGAGGTCCTTTCCAACTTCTGAAAAACATCATGCTCTTAAAAATTAGAAGCCTCTTGCTCTCTGAAGGATCCTCTTTACAAATGCACTAGATAGGTGATAGCAATTCATTTTCAAATTCGTTAAACCCTGCACAACGAGCCTTTTATTCTGCAAGATGCACATCAATATTCCCTAATAAAACCCAACAGGAAGTTTTTGCCATAAAAAAAATTCATCAACTTCATTTAATGGCTGAAAGAATCTCAGCATTTTTGATGACCTAATTCGAAACTTCAGCTGCTGAACAGTAGTTTTAAAGCAAATTCAGGGATTTGGTCAGACAACCAATTTAGTTATAAATAGCACTGCTTAAAATGTTTAGTTACTCAGTTAAAAAGCCTTAGTG